AAAGCGTTAAATATTGTAAGACTCTTGAGCTAGATGTTATGTTTTGCAAGAAGAATGAGTTAGAATCTTAAAGCAATTACGAATGAATATTACAATTTTGGAGATATCAGAATACTGTTGGCCTTTAGTGTATCACCTTCATCAAGCAGACTAGGTATATTTTGCGCGCTTTAAAACATCAGCTGCTTCTGCTGATTTCTGCTCGTGGTTTGGGGCGCTGTGGGCCGCGATTCTACGTTTGCCTTCCGCGTCAACTGTGCGTGTAGAACGCATGCGCCGGCTTTACAGTGCGTGGGAATTTTCCAAGCGCTTGTTGGAAGAAATTCCAACGCATGACGCTGCAATTGTGACTGCTAACATTTCTCTCATTTGGCAATGAGCGAGCCTATTGTGAATGGACCAACTGACTGACTGAGTAACTCGCTGGCTGTCAACTGGCTGTGTTGAGTTGAGAAAATAGAATGAGGCGCGTGTTGTAAATTGCAGTCAAATGCAGTGCAACTGCACCGAACAACAAACACATGCACACACACACACACACGCAGACAGACACACTTCAAATCAACAAGCGCCATAACAAGAAGGAAGAAAGGAAGGAGGAACCATGACGCTGCTCATCTTATCAGCTGTGCGTCAGATGAACACAGGCAATAGGAAGACACCGGCGTCAAATTTACGACCACAAGTCACAAATTTTATGGCAACTTAAGCTGCAAGTTTGCGGCTTGCGTTTTATCGACAAGTCCGCACACACACACACACACACATGCACTCACACAGCAACACACATCGTACAGGCACGCAGCGCAGGCTGGCAAAAGTTTGCGCCTAATTTTATGCCTCCTTCGTTTTTATACCCTACACCTAAAGTGAAGAGGTAATTGAGTTTCGGACACAAACTCGTAGGAGAAGGGTTGATAGCAACCATGTTAGGGGTAAATAATGATCAGCCCGACATAAACAAATATGTATTTATATAGTAGTATGTGCATACACTTAAAACTAATTTGCTGACTTATATGCAATTGTTTACTATGTGGACTATAAATCAGCTAAATGGATCATTGATTATCAAACACACATATACTCGCATAATGGAATAAAGTCAAGCTTGTTTCCTCTGGGGTTCTTATGTGGTTGTGTGTTATAAATACAAGCTGTGAGTTATTGATGTGTATGTTTTAAGAATTGCAATTGTTTTAAGAATTGAATAGAGCCCCCATCTCTAATTATTTAGTCATCATTGAAAAATGAATTAATAAATGCATATCATAAATCGAAAAAAAGAATCTATTGGCTTAAAAGTTTAAATACAAACAGATTGTGGAGGAATCAAACCACAAAAAATTAATAAGACATGAGTTCCAAAGATTTATGATATCTTGTGGGGTGAGACAAATTCACATCAGAAGCACGTTATCTTTAGGATTAGGAAAAGAAAGCTGTGTAATTTTGGGTAATAACAGTTTTAGCTTTCTTGATAACAATTTTATGAATTTAAAATGATTCTGCGCGTTTGATTTGTTGTGTACATGAAGTTTATTTCGATAAATATTATGAACATAAATATTGGAACAAAAAAAATAGTTTTTAATAACATATCTTTTTCAGTTCCAATAGACCTTGTCTTATTTTAAACGATATATTTGTACTAAAAGCGCACTAAACAGCAAAAGGAAAGGCAGCCGAGGGTACTCGTATAGGCATTGATGCACTAAAATGCAAAAGGAAAGTCCACAGAGGGTATATGGCTTCAATGCAGCCGAAGAGCACTTTTTTTGTTCCTTTTTTGGCCGCTTCCTTTTTTTTTGGCAAGCTCTTGTCGTGGAGGCGAAAGTTGAAATCAATAATTATTATATGCTAGTTTGCTGTGAAATTGAAAATGGCACAAACGGAAGCGGGTCGGGGGTATGCTTGGGGTTCGGCCAGGGTTCGGTGGCTGGGGAACTTGCAACAGCAGTGCCAGAAACTTGTGGCAAGCGCGCACTAATGTGCAGCAATAAAAAATTTAAATCACCAGCGCCATGTTGCACACTTGTGGGCATACGCATACAAGAGTGTCTTGGGTCGTGTTGCCGTCAGCCTCAAGACACAAGCCGCAGGCTACTTGCTGGGCGAGGGTGCAGGGAGCAGGGGAGCAGGGGCTGCAAGGGTTGTGCTGCAAGAAGTGCCAACAAGAAACTTTCTAATTAGGATAATAAATTTTCAACGGCACACTCACGACAATAGCGCGTCGACTTGTAGGCAATGCAAAACATGAACACAAGCACATACTAACATGTCAGCAGAAGCCACCCCCAAACCCCAAACCCCACACCCTCCTGCCCCCTTTCCCCCAGTCCAACTCAAACTGCTACACTGCTCACTGGCACAACAAAGCTGCAGCAGCCTATTTCGCCTTCTGGGCTAACTTCTTGATGTTTTGTGCGAGGCTGCCAAAAAGAAGAAGCTTTTGGCGTTGCAGGCAAAATAGTAAGTGATGTTGTCGTTGTTGTTGTTGGAAAACGTGTTTTCGGGTCAGAGACGCCGAAGCGGCAAATGTACAACGGCTGCGCCTTGCTGCTGCCTATAATTTATGCTCAGTGTATTTAGCTGCATAACAAAAAATCGCGCGTAGGCTGATAAGTATTCTGACAGAACCCAGTGCTGTTATCTCGTGACCTTTCAATGATGAGAACTGAAGCTGAGATCTTGAAATGTGAAACTTGCTTTTCTTTTGGTTTCCTGCCATCTTGAGCTGCGCTGAAGATTTTAGCTTCACTTTCGATTTCACATCTGGATTGCCTTTTCGTGTTTCCGTTTAGAGCTGCGACTTAATTGTCTAGTATAAGTTTAGAGGAGCATAGCATTCATTTTCATTTTCAATTAAGTTGTCCTCGTTAGGACCTTTAGCAATCATATATATTCCTATTGCAATTAGACTTTTGGTACGACTGATTTTGAGTAAAAGTAGTGGGTGTAAGGAAGAGTCTTCAAAAGTGGTGATAATTTATCTTATTTCTAAAGATTTTTAGTCAAGATCGTCTATGAAGAAAGACAAGTAAACAATGGAAATGCCCAATAAATTTCAATTTCTTCAACCTCTTTTTCTATTTTCTGATTTGATTACTAAAGTTTCTCCAAAATATTCCCATATCGTTAGTTATTTAAGAGAAGTTTATAATATTTCACCTTTATATACGTTTTTATATTATTTTGCGACCAAGTGTACTGTTGGCAAGGGCTCTGCTCTGGCAGAAGCAATTTATTTTTATTTATATATATAAACATATTTTTTTCCAACTAGCTGGCTCTTGTCGTTGTGGTACGGTCGCAATTATTGCTGTTGTTGCCCGGCCAAGATAAGCGTTGCAATGTTTCCGCTACAAAATATTTGCAGGACTCGCCACAAACGTGCACGAGTATGTGTGTGTGTACAGATGCGTATGTATGTTTGTGGTCTGCGGTCGCTTTCTATTTTTGAAACTTGCATGCAACTTGTAGTCCAATACGTAGATGAGGGGCAAGTGACTTGTGTGCGGTGTGCTGTGTCCAAGTGTGTGTGGCAAAATATTTGAAAAACTTTTGCAGTTGCCAGTGAAATTATGTGGAAATTTAAGGCTTTCACCAGCTACATGCCATTTGCTCCACTACTTTTCCATGAAATATTTTACGTATCAAATGAGGGCTCTTCTCCATCTCTAGACCCGTGAATGAAAGAAGGTCAGTTCTTTTTCGCTGTTCGCTTTTCGCTTTTCGCTTTGCTGCTGCATTGTAAATGAGGTTTCAGTTTTTCCGGGTCTATTTTTAAATTGCGCGCTTTAATTGGAATTTAATGCAACGAAAAATACCAACTTTTCAGACAGTTTTGATAAGCGTGGATTGAAACAGTTGCCGGGTCGATGGTATTTCCTGCTATTAGCAAATATAGTACTATAGAAGTATATTTTTGAAAAGTGTTTTCAAGCGAAATTTTTCACTCTAGCAGTTTGATTTCCATTCATCAAATAGTCCACAAGTAATCTATATGCATTCATTCGAACTCTTAAATATTTTTCAATAAATATCACATCATCCTTAAGATGATGTAGAATACAAAAAAAAAAAAAATAGAATAATTTATAAAATCTTATAATTTTTCTATCTGGTTTTGACTTGCACATAAATGGGTGCTGTTGTGACACACTATTCTTTTTTGGAACGCATGATCTACCATCACACAAATAAAGGGAAAGGAAAATATTAACAGTTGGTTCTATTTCTCTACTAAATGAAACTAGAATATACCATACCATACTTCTTAGACTAAACTTAGTTATATACTGTCTATATAAAATATACTATGTATATACTTATTACATACTAAGCTGAAGATACTTGGCGACACAGTAGTAATCGTTTTATAAGAGTTTTGCAAAATCAGCCTTAAATTTAAGTATACTGAGGACAGTGTAAAATTGATATTCACGGGATAGGTTTTACAATAAAAAGGAATTGAGAGAATCGTGAAAAAGACACTTTAGATGATGGAAAGAAACTTACAAAAATAAGTAAGGCAATGTTATTTCTAATTATTGCATTTTTGAAAGAAAATCAAGACAAAAAGTAATGAAAAAAGACAACGCACCAATGAGAGACAACAGTAAGTTACTTTTGTGTGTGTGTGTTTTTTTTTTTTTTGGGAAAAAAGTAGTAATATACGTATATTTATATACAAGTATGTACTTGCTGAGCGAGCGAATCAAAGACAGAGTTAGTTTGAATAATCAAAGGAAAATGGAGCTAGAAGTTTGAATTGCTTAGCGCGTTGTTACGAGTATTGTGGGTCATTAAGAAGTTAAAAGTTTCGCGTATAAGTTCTTTTAAGCGAGATAGAGAGAAACTTAGAACTGTGATTACAGAGAAGAGAGATAGTGAAGCAATCAGCGCTTCAATAGATAAATAGAGCATTTGGTAGATGGATAGAGAGATAGATAGGAGAGTGTGTTGCAATGCAAATTGGAGAAAACGAGCCAACTCACCGTCATAGTCCAAGGCAGAAGTGGCTCCAGCGCCCACACTCGACATGGAGGCCTGTGCTTGGGCGGCCAACAAGTGGGATTGAAACTCCTCCTCGGAGCTACTGAAGGAGCGCTGCTGTTGTGAGGCATATTGGGCGCCGGCCAGTTGGCGCCTCTGCTGCTGCTGCTGGTTATAGGAGGTGGCATCCATTGCATGACCACCACTGATGGTCAGATTGCGCGTCAGCGGTGGTGGTTTCTGGTAACCAACGGCCATCGATGGCGACTGCGTGGGCAGATGACTGCTTGGCATTTGATGGTGGACTTGGACGTGTGTGGGCGTGCCATGATAGGCTTGCTGCGGCTGCTGTTGCTGCTGTTGTTGCGGATGATGTTGCTGGAGTTGTGGTGGAAGCCGCTGTTGTTGTTGCTGCTGCATGGAATGCGTTGGCTGCATGCGCCCCGAGGAATACATGCCTGGAGGCGTGCCATATTGTTGCTGTGGTTGTTGTGCCCCTTGACGCTGCTGTTGTTGCTGTTGCTGTGGCATGAGATGCTGCTGTTGTTGCTGTTGCTGATGTTGTTGCTGTTGGTGTTGTTGGTGTTGTTGCTGCTGCTGCAATTGGCTGGGATGTGCCAGATGTGGATGCTGTCGCATTAAGCCATCCAGTTCACCCTGTGGGGGAGAAAATATATCATTCGATTATTGGGTAGTTTTTCTTCGCATTATTCTAAGAACATTTGTTGAATTACAGTATTTCTGAAGGGACTGTTGGGAACTTCTAAAAGATGTCACTTAATAGCGCAAGAATAATACACTGCTGTAGTTTTCAGTCGAATGTTATTGGGCCCTAAAACATACAGAACTGTTTTCTGACTTGACTAATCATATTCGACTATAATTCAAATATAAAATAAATTGCTTTTAGCTGCACAGCTGATGGAAGATAATATGCTCATATTATGCTCAGTTTTAGGAAAGATAATATTTAATCCAATGGTTATCTGTTACTTTTATTTCTCATTTCCAATTTTCAACAATTAATCTACATAAAAGAAATCCGATTGCATTCAAATTCATTCCTGCAAATATCCTTACAAATACGCTGATATAGGAATTGTGTGTTCTTTTGAATGCCAAATAAATTTGGAACTATGTAGATGCTTATTGAAAACTAAACTCAAGGCTTAACCTCACGAAAAAATATTCGTTGGAACTGCTCATTTAGTTGAGAAGACTATCTTTAATTTTTCTTTTTCTTATCTTTAAAAATTTTCTACGCATGCTTAAGCGAATTTTCTACAAAGTTTCCACAGAGAGCAATAAATGATGTGTTGTGCCCACCTGATAGAAGCGCGGATCGTCCTCGGGATAGGCGCCAGTACGTCCAGGCTGCTGTTGCTGTTGCAATCCATAGGCTTGCTGTTGCTGCTGCTGCTGTTGTTGCTGATATTGCTGCTGCTGCTGCGGATTAATGGGCTGCATGCGCGAGCGTTGCTGTCCCGGACTCATGGCATCCATGCCGCTATCCGAGGCAGAGAGGCGTCGATTCGTTGGCTGCTCCTGCTGTGAATACTGACGTCGAAGGACGCTGCCTGTGCGCTGCATGGGCAGGTTCTCCTTCTCGGCTGCGCTGCGCGTGCGCTCCAGCTTGGGTCTCTTATCTGTGGTATCGTGCGGATCAACAATCGCTTGCTGGGATATATCCTGTTAATGAATAAATATGCATATTAATTGCCAGTTTCTATCAGTGGGACTTGGTTGAATATTTCTTACACTACTGCCATCCGGTTCGATGCGTCTGATGAAACCATCTTGCTGCACGGCCGTCTTGTTCATCCACTGGCCAGTTTTCGAGAGCAATTCTTGTTTCTTTCGGCATAATATGCAAACCCAAATAACCTGAAAGTAGAATGAAGCGAAATCATTAAATTATGAAGGTAACTATTTTTACTAGGCTTTGTATAGATACTCTAGCACCCTTGAATTTATATTCATTTGTCATTTAATCAAATTGTCGTCGTTATATCGGAATTATTAGTAGCAAAGAAATTCGCATTTACGGACAAATTACAACTATTTTAGTACGTTTGTTACATTACCCAAGGACGCAAAGCTAAAGTCTAAATTCTGCAACGGCTTCAAATGGAAGACGATCGTTCGCGTGCCCTGCAAGTTCAGCGCGCCCTCGCCTGGGGCTACACTCCCCGTGTACTCTTCTTTTTTAGCAGAATAATGGAACTATTCGGAACAATCAATGTCTTCATGACCACCTACATCGAACGGGCACGGAACGAACGATTCGCCGGCTTCTCTAGCCTGCATTGGTACTCATTGGCAGGGGAAAATAACTATAGATGGGTGCATATGTCGCTCGTGTTTCGGGCTGCAAGTTGGAACTTTTAAAGGCGAGAATATTGTGAACCCGTGCTGCTTTTTTCTGTCTTTCAATATTTGCCACTGGAACGTGTGCGATTGCCTGTAAAAATTGTTTAGTTTCTTCTTCGTATTGGCATTGCTTTGTGTGGCATTTTGGCAACGTTTCAACGCCAAAATTGTTGGCAGCGTAGCCAGCATTTGATAAGCCAACCAATGTCGTGTCCACATCGAACCCCGCGCGGGGTTTGAAATAAAAATTGAAAAAAGTGAAATTGCAATTTAATTGAAATGCGAATGCCAAATGGGAAAAGTTAATGCCAATTGCAGAACCAAATTTCTATTTGTGTTAAAGCCCACTGACTCTTCCCTTTGTTCAATATGTATTTGATTTAGTAAGTAAGTAGGTTCATGGAGATGTCAAGCTTTTATTGACTTTAATTGTTGCATATGTATGTATATATAAATCAAAACGAGGTGTATTGTATACCTTGAAGAAATTTAAAAACTTTTAAAAAATTGAAAACAAATGGAATGTTTTCCTAATTTCCATCTTGATCAGATTGCTTGGCGCTAAACGAATTGCAAAATCCTTTTTCTGTAATATTTCTTGCCACATTATTAATCTTGCTGAAATATTGTTTTACTGACAGGATAAAGATTACTGATAGTATTCTGTACATTTCGTCACTCTGTCAAAAATACTAACACAGTTTTACATTGGCAGATCAGATAGCTTTGAGTGATTCTTTTAATTTAAATACTACGTCTTGACATTTTTTAGGCTCAAATCTCTATATTTCCATGTTGGCAGAATTTAGCAGAAGGCCGGTTTAGAATCAACTCAGCCAGAGAGAGATAGGCTAGAAAATGTCAGCCGCAGATGAAAGAATGCAGGCTTTATATCTCCGTTGCCAGTCAGATACGATTTTTGAACTCGAGTCTCTCTCTACTCGTACCTATAGAAAGTTAAATCAAATTTTCCACCACCGAGTTGGCGAATTCCCTTTATTTCTTTCTGCTCCTTATTTCGTCTTATTAGGTCTTAAGTAGAATTCGGTTTTCTCCTCTATTTACTATATTCTTAGTTTGGTCTATAATGTTTCTGACCACTAACGGCTGTGAATGGGGGTATACGTGCATATGGACGCATTATTAGACGTTATTTTGTAGTTATTTTTGAAGCTTTCTTATCTTTTAAGTTGAAATTATAACATAACGTTAATCTATACCTTTGTTGTAATATAAAATGTATATAATAATATAAAACATCTTTATGGTAATCTGTATCGGCAGCACAATTTGTTGATTTATTAAAATAAAAATGAAATATTAATAACAAAAATTGATTTATGTTTAATATTCAAACAGAGTTTCTTTAAATATTTGCTTTAAATTCTTCTGGCTACAGCGCACCACTAATAATCAGGCCTTGTCGCGGGAATTGAACATATAACTCAATAGAATTGAGTGTTTAAATCGTTCAGTTGAATGCACAATTAAGCCATTCTCATGCAGTGCGAAAATGATGTGCCGAAATGAGGGCGCTTCAATAAATTCTCAAACTTATGGGCAGCGAGCGTGCCACTTTCAAGTTCAAAGCAATTGACCTCCAAGTTTTTTGTATAGTTTATTTATTCATTTTTGGGCTAGTTGTGACAATTAGTTATACGCACAGCACGCTGTTCGGGCAGTTGGCAACAGGCGCGTGAGAAGTTATAGGCGCCAGCCAATGGGGCGTATGAGTGATAGTGCGAGGACTTACAAGCGACGCGTCGCCAACAATATTGGCGTCAGCGGACAAGACAGCGACATTGCCACCATTTATCACTGGCTTGAGAATAAACATTCTATATCCTACGCCAACTTGTCTCTTTGGCTGTGAAGCGTGCGACGCACAACAACCGACGACGGACGACGGACAAGCGACAAGCACGTCTAATGGCACTTGAAAATTATTTGCTATCAAGCGCAAAAATTGCCAAGTTGCAGGCGTATACACATACACTGAAAAAAATGTTGCAGCAAGTTTTAAGCAACTACTCATAACGGCTGCTACGGAAAAAGTTGATCAATACAGTTTAATTTTTCCTAAATTTAATGTTGTTTATTCAACGACAATTATACTCTCTTAAGAAGTTAAATATTAATAGGCGAGTTCATTTTCTTCAGGTATTGTGATGTTCCTAGTTTTAAAATTATATCAATCATCTAACAATATGAAGAGAATAGAGAGTTGAATGAAACTTTTGGCTGTAATTAATTTTTAAAGCCAATATTAAAACTAAATTTGAAAACGCGCTTGCCAAGAAATTTCTTACGGAATCCTTTCATTCTATAAAATAAGTTCAGCTATCAAAATATATATTTGACGATGAACTGTCTTTCCAGAAGTATTTAAAAATCAACATTAAAGACTTGTAAGGCCCACTACAAGGATATGCCTGCATTAAGACATAAATATATGAAGTTCATGGCGAGTGCTTGTACCATTTATAACCTAATCAGCAATAAATCTATTTGTTATTCAACAAATATTGGTTACATCAATAAGAGCATGCTGCTTGTGAGGAAGTTCTTAGTGCAAAAATTTCAATTGTTGTAGAAATAGATTAAGTTTGTAAGGTAATGCCAAATTCTCTTAGTGTATGTATGTAGACATTGAGTGTGTCTGGTTGACAGGCGCGTTTATTCGCTTCACGCCATGCCCTGACAGTGTCAAGCCACTGCACTTCCCTTACTCCTGCCCCATTCCTAGGGCCCTCATGGCCGTTCCCATTCCCCACTGCCATTGCTCGTGCTCGTGGCCAGGCTGTTAGGGAACTACTAACTCACTCACCTTATTGCTGCGCAACGTCACTTTGCCGCCACATCGGGCACAGCAGCGTATGTTGCAGTAATGGCAAATGTGGCCAACGCCATCAGCAAATTTGGTCTTAAGGCATATGTGACAGGTCGCATCAAGCTCAACGCCGGCCTTCTTCTGCTGTTCCGAACGCTGACGTATTTGCATCTCTAGTGTGACAACTTCATCTTGCTTGCGTCTGTGGGGGAGAGAGGGGGTACGGAAGGGAAATACGTTCAGAATCGGCGGTATAAAGTTTGTTTGAGCATGAAAAATATTTGTGAGAGGGTGTGTGTGTGTGTGTGTAATCCTGTTCGTTTTACTTAAATATTTACTGTGTGGAAAAAGGCAATGCATTGCACTCACCGCATTATCTCGTTCTGTTTCTCCTCCTCCTGCTTCTGCCTCATGAGCACATTTTCAATTTGCATGCGCTCGTGTGGCGTCAAGTGAGACAAATCGGGCATCTCATCCATAGCTACTGCTGCTGTTACTGTTACTGTTACTACTTGTGCTACTGCTACTGTTTCTGTTTCTACTGCTACTGTGCGGCGGTTGATGCTGCTGCTGCTGCTGCTAATTGTTTAATGTTTGCCTTTGGATTTGGCGTGCGTTTCTCGTCTGTTTGTTTTAGTGTTACTCTGTGTGTATCTGCTTGTGTGTGTGTGTGTTTTTTTACTAAATTTAAATATTAGTTATTATGTTTGTCTTTAGTTTAGTTCTGGTTCACCTTTTCTAAGTTTTGTTCGTTGCTGTGTTGAAGTCGGCGTTTAAACAAGAGTTCGGCTTGTTATACTTAATTTTAGTTGCACTAAATAGTTTTTTATGTTTAATAAATTTTAAATACTTTGATAGAAAGTGTGTGTTTTAAAGCTTTTCTCGGTTTGCCTTTAATTTACAGTATTTTGTTTTATTGAAAATTCATGCAATTTAGCAAATATTTATAAATATAATTTGTTATTTAATTTATTATTTATTATGTAGATTTAAGTGTTTAAACCTTTCTGATGGAAAATCACAGAGCAAATATCTAAATGTAGCTGCATAAATTTTTTTTGTGTTTTGCTTTTTAACATTTATTTTAGGTTTTTTAGTTTTTGGTTTGGAAATTCGTTGAAACTTTTTATGTCGCTCAGTTGAATTATTTTTCTCTATAAGCACTTTGTCAAAATGTTTGACTCGTATTTGTGTATCTGTGTGTGTGCGTGTGTGAGTCTATTGCATATTGGTGTGCATTACTATGTGTTTGTGTGTGTGTGTTTGTGGGTCTGTATGTGTTTGTGAATGTGTTGCAGGCCTTTTGCGCACTTCCCTTTCAACTTCTAGGTATATGCGTCCGTTTTCATATTAGCAGCACGAATTGAAACGCAAAATTCATTTTGCCCTTTGCTCTCGGTTTGTGAAGCATTCCCGCCCTTCATTTTGGTTGCGACTGATATTTGGGCTCCTGGCTCCTGGCTGTTGCAAGACTTCCAATTGCTTTTGTTTGTTGCTGCTGTAGCTGTAGCGGTTGCTGCAGGTTTTCTCTTTGCTGCGCCATCTTTGAACGGGTTCTCAATGTTTTTGTCTGTGAAAAATTTCATTTGTCAGCACTGAAAAGACAAAATGAATATAAAAGTTAGGAACAGACAAAGTCAATTAATAAAGTTCAATTCAATTTGTTTGCGCTGTTATCTCCTCATACTATATATGGTGCGACCAATTCAATTCATTTCGAATTCATTGAATGACTGCCCATTTCCTTATAGCTTTGCAGTAGCCATTTAAAAGGGATTTTTATTAAGCTGCTGGCGATATTTTATCGACATAAAAGAAGCTTGTGTGGAGGGAAATTAATTTAAAATGAGAAACTATTCGTTTGGATGTTATAATATGCTTAAGAAGTGCCTCATCATTCTGCGTCGATTTTTATTAATGAAACACAACAAAAATATAATATGAATATAATATGTTCATTTAGCGTTTATTCTTTATGTAAAATCCAGTACAACTTTTTGCGATAAAGACATTTTTTATCAAGCTGCTGGCAATATTTTATCGACATAGAAGAAGCTTGTATGTTGAGAAATGAATTTAAATTGAAAAATCTGTTTTAGGCGTTATAATATATATGCTTTTAAAATGCTGCATGAATATTATTAACAATTTATTGATCCAATGTTTAATTAGCGTTTATTATCGAAGTAAAATCCAGCACAATTTTTTCCGATGAATTAAAAATTGCTTGTGATCAGTTGTGCTGAATGAAAATAACGAAAATAGAAGGGTGCACAGTTGATTAGACATTTAAAACAGCTCTGATCGCATACAGCCCCAGAAAGTAGGCAACACTTTTTGTCTGCCCAGCTGGTGCCTATAATTAAACCCTCACTAGCACACATACATACACAAGAATACAGACAGTATGGCTGTTGTCAATATTTTATCGACATAGAAGAAGCTTGTATGTTGAGAAATGAATTTAAATTGAAAAATCTGTTTTAGGCGTTATAATATACATGCTTTTAAAATGCTGCATGAATTATATTCACCGCAATATAATCCCAAGAGGGAATATATTCTACCACCTGGCTCCCGTATTGATGTTTTTAAAGCCGATCTCGAAAGAAGAATTAACCTGAACGTCGAAATTAACAGCCCAGAGGATATCGAAGACGCGATATCAATCCTCATGAAGAACATTTCACTGGCTGCGTCTTCTGCTGCACCGAAAACTTTACGCTTGCCAACCCAACATAGTCAAGCTAGTCTACCACCAACGGCTGCTGCGCTCTTAAGCCTGAAAAGAAGAGTCAGGAAAGAATATGCAAGAACTGGAGATACTCGCATTCATCAAATCTACAAAAGACTGTCCAATCGACTGCAAAAAGAGCTTGCTAAAATCAGACAAGGCAGAATTGATGACATATTGGAAAGTGCTGGTCCAGATGCATCATTTAATTACTCGCTCTGGAAGCTTACGAGGCGATTTAAGAGGCTGGTCATCCCTAAGACTCCAATTAAGGATCCTACAGGTGGATGGAGCTACTCCAGTCAGCAGAAAGCTGAAATCTTTGCAAACAGCCTAGAGGAAAGATTTAAGCCTTTTGACTTTACAACAGCAGATAGGCGAAGGGTAGTCGAGCTTAGGCTGGAGATGCCATTCCAAATGGCCTTGCCTGCAAGCCCAGTTACACTTCAAGAAGTGGTACAGCAGATAAAAAATCTAAAGGTAAAAAAAGCGCCTGGAGAAGACCTTTTAGACAACAGGACGCTGAAACTGCTCCCCACAAGGGCTCTGCTGTATATTGTCTTGCTCATGAATAACATACTCAGGCTGAGGCACTTTCCAAACTGCTGGAAAATGGCGCTAATTACGATGATTCCAAAGCCAGAGAAACAGCATACTGAAGTAGATGGATATAGGCCGATTAGTCTGCTACCTGCCCTCGGGAAGATGATGGAACGCGTGATTCTGGACCGGATTCTCCAGCTCGAAGCCGTGACGCGCAGAATTCCAAAATGGCAATTTGGTTTTCGAAGAAGTCACGGAACACCGGAACAGCTCCACCGTGTGGTCAACTTCGCCCTGGAAGCCATGGAGCAAAAGATGTACTCAGTGGCTGTGTTTATGGATATTAAACAAGCTTTTGATAGAGTGTGGCATGATGGTCTCCTCTGCAAATTGAAAGGCATGCTAACTCCTCAATTGTTTCAACTCATCGAAAGCTTTCTAAGGGACAGAAGCTTCAGAGTTGCTGTTGATGGAGTGAAATCCACGAGGCGCTCAATTTGTGCAGGGGTGCCCCAAGGCAGTGTTCTCGGTCCTACCCTGTATACATTATTTACTGCTGATATGCCTGCACCGCAAGAGATCATTGGAGTAGACGAGGATGACGCACTAATAGCTACTTACGCAGACGACACTGCGGTGCTTACCAGAAGCAGAGATATCGATGTAGCTTCGGAAGCCTTACAGCAGTATGTAAGTAGTTTCGAGAAGTGGGCTCTGAATTGGAACATTGGTATCAACGCCAGCAAGTGTGCGAATGTCACATTTACAACAAGGCCGTCGTCATGCGGAGATATCACAATGTTGGGGTCCACGCTCAGTCATACAAATTCGCACAAATATCTTGGTGTAATTCTGGACAGAAGACTCAACTTCAGCAAGCATACAACAATGGTGAAGCGATCGGTCATGGCGAAAGCCGGAAAGATGGCATGGCTGCTTGCACCATGCAACAAGCTGTCCCTGCACAGTAAGGTGACAGTATACAAGTCCATATTAAGTCCAATATGGAAGTATGCGCTACCAATTTATGGCATTGCCGCTGCTTCAAACCTAAACAAAATAAGAGTTGCGCAAGCTAAAATACTTAGAAAAATATGCAACGCTCCCTGGTATATGCGCACTAGGGACATCGAAAGAGACTTATGTGTCCCCAAGGTTGGCGATGTCATTCAAATGCACGCAAGCAATTACGAGAAGCGACTCGGCAGTCACCCCAACGCACTAGCGAGGCGGCTCCTGTCCAAACCTAAGAAGAGAAGACTGAAGAAGTGCCATCCAAAGGATCTCCCCACAAGAGCCCTTGTATAAAATACATAGTATATATCATAAAATATAATCATTTTTCATGTAAAACATTGTAAATATTGTATATATGTACATAGATATAAGTGCGTCCTATAGATGCTTACTATAGACAACTTTTGTATTCCCTAACTTTCAACTAGCTTAAGCTGCCATATTGGTAGTAGAAAACTAGTTTAATAAATTGTATATATGTAAAAAAAAAAAAAAAAAAAAAAAAAAAAAAAAAAATGAATTATATTAACAATTTATTCACAACCCTGGTAGCTGTCAAAGTGACTAGTCGACTTTTTATTGTGCGCTCCGTGAAAAATTGTAATAAATTCCTCTTTTTCAATTATTTCGCGTATAGTGCGTTAAAAAAAAAAAAAACCACCCGGAAACCTAGTTTCACCTTGGCTTTTTGGCAATCGTTTAGTATCCTTATTTTCTTGGATTCCAATCAACAATTAATCTGCTGTATGGGGCTGCTCTGCTGACGTATACACGTCATCGGAGCAGAGACAGCCCAGAATTTTTCTTCTTTGCTTGTTTTGCAAGTCATCTTATCTCACGTAAATGAATGCTGATGAAGACTCGGCCGCTCTCGGAGCAGCTGAGGAAGTAGTCAATAAGCTGCCGAAGTACGTGGAGATGAGAAAAATTTCTGGTAAATCACCTTCGGAGCTGAGAGCAAAAATAACCAAGGACTTGCATATGTCAATGGGAAAACCATACTTAAAGCCGTCAATCTCAACCAGTAACTGGATTGCCTCAACCACTTGTACATCGACTACAAGTACCCTAACATTTTCTGTGGTGAACTCTCAATCAATGTATACTACAGTAGCGACATCAAATGGCAGTTTGTGCTCCACACCCGCCGTTGTGAGTACACCGGCTTCAATGACAAACTTAGTTGCAAATCCAACTCTGGACAAATTTTGCTCGTTTCAAATGCCAGTACCCGGTATTAATAGGAAGCGGAAAGGAGCCGTCGAGTCACTAAAATCGGCTCAAAAAAATAAGCCAACTCCTGTCAATACAACCCAGGGACAACGAACTGCGTCCTCCTCTCCGCCAGCGCTTCAAAATAATAGATTTGCAGCCCTTTCGGAAGAAGCTGATTCCATTATGGAAATGGAAGAGCCAGATTCCGAAGATCCATCGAGCCAGCAAAATGAAGCCAGCCGTTTCCAGCAGGGAAGTAGTATT